TATTTCACATTAAGGTCTTGTTTGGTTAATCCTCTCCATAGTGGGTTGAGGCCGTGTTCTTCCCCAGTTTTCCCAACCCATATCTCTCGTTTTACGCGCGCACGTTTTTCAAACTGCTAAATGGTGTGATTTTTTTGCAAAAATAAATTATATACGAAAGTTGTTTTAAAAATCATATTAATCCATTTTTTTAAAAAAAATAATACTTAATTAATATGCACTAACACATACTTCGTTTTGCATGCCGGGGAGGAGGGGTTACCAAACTCTCCTCCCAAACGCAGCCTGAATGAATTTGGAGAGATAATTTCACACATATTGAGAAGTGGAATTAATTCCTTTCAATCCCTCCCTCCTGAAGATTAACCAGACAATGCATTGTTAAGAACAAAATTAATCTCTCCTAATCCCTTCAACCCCTTCCATGTAAGGATCAACTGAACAAACCCTAATATAAAACCACGTCACTTTGCAAACAATCCTACCTCTGACCGTCCGATCGAGATCCAACGTCAAGGACCGACACAGATGGTGATCAATTATGCGCTGCCGACCATTTTTCTAGATACGATGGTCGATGAACGGAAGAAAGTAGCACTCTAATACGTGCTAAGTACTAACGATCCCATTATTTCGTTCTTGATGAGCAAAGTACCGTAGTTTGTTGTTGTGATAGGATATAGGATAGGAATAGGTTATGATCATAACAGAAGAAAGGCAAATAGTGCCGTCGGTCCCCTGCTTCTTCTTGCAACAATTTACCAAAGGACGACGTCACTGGTTGTTGCCTTGTCGGTGGCCAGTGAGTGACAGACAGGTGGGACCCACACAGAGCTGATGCTGGATTAACGTACAAGGAGACGAGACGGGTGTGGAGATAATGCTCGGGGGATGGGGGAGTCCTCTCATGGTTACTGTAGCGAAGTTATTAGGTCGGCTTCTTTTGGTGCTTAGCTTATCCTGGCACTTGCTTGTACAACAGCTACTGTAGTACTCCCTGATGCTGTTGAGTGTTTGGAATTTTTAGGCAAATATGCAAAACATAAATTAATTTTCTTATCAAGGACATAGCCCCCCATTTTCATTAATAGAAATGTAAACCTTATATAAAAAAGGAGAAAAAAAAACACCGTTTTCCTCTTTTTTTAACTTGACGACTGACTGTTAAGTGAACATAGGTTAATTGGTTTGATTTCTTATGGTGGAATTGACCCATCTAGATTTAAAGATAATTATTTTTTTCAGTGGTAAGTGGCGTACCTGTCAATTGCGAGACATATATAAAGACTTCGTCTATCTTAAGGTAATATCGACTCAGTTTTTAGAAAATGTTAATGATGGTAGAGTGCGCATGTGTGCGTTTGAACGCCTACACTTGTATTGTGTTTCTTTAAAAAAAATTCCGCAGCTAGATAGATTGTGTCAGGTGCCATCCCACCCTTCACAAGAGCTAGACACCCCATGACTTACAGACAAAAATCACCCGAGGAGCAGGACCAAGCCTTGTTAACTTAGGGCATGTACAATAGAGGTCTCAACATACCAAATAGGATAAGATCACATAAAAGCCACACAATCTACAATGGAGACTACTGTTGAGTATATTTTGTGTTTCGACCCTGGTTATTTATATGTCAGCCCTTACAATATTTATTATTATAAGATTAACAATTTTATTCCATATAAAAAAAACATGGATACCTCTAATCTACATATGGACCCACTGTTAACCTCTCACACCCACCTTCTTCTCTCCATTACCGCACTCTATTCGTATCATAGGCACCCCTTCCCTTTTTCGCGTCACCTCCTCTTCTCCGCATCCGAACGCCGGCGACTCCTCTTCTGCCAGTGGCGCCTCTCCCCCTCCTCTCCATTTACCGCTGCAGTGCTCCTCTTCCACCTCCGGCCTCTCCCCCTCCCTTCTCTGCGAGCGGTGGCGGCGGAGGATCCCGGCGCCGGATCTGGCCACATCGGCTGGCCTCTCCCCTCCCACCCCCTTCTCGTGACGGTGAGGGGCCACCGGCGGCGATGGATCCGGCCATGAGCTCACCGAATCCGGCCACGAGCTCGCTGGATCTGGCAGCGGCGGATTTGGCGAGCAGTGACACGACCACAACGGTGGCGGTGAGCGGCGACGACGACCACGGGAAGTCCTTCTCGACCTCTCCTTTTCCCCAAGCGCGTCACGAGGCTCTGGTTCTCCCCAACACGTGACCCCCGAGAAGTGGTTTCACACCTCTTGAGCTGAAGCACGCTGAGGTAACTGTGACCTCTGCAGGTATGCACGGCAAGGGTTCATGGAACCACGGTTCCCACTACCATGGGTGCTCGGCTCCGACGTGGAGGCTTAGACCACATGATAGGGTGGAACGTTGTACATGGCCTTATATCACCACAGACCTACAAGTTTCATACTCAGGCAAAAGCACCTTTCTCAGCAAAACAGGCAGAAACATACAGGCAAAAGCACCTTTCACCTCATAGAAGCACAAGACCTGAAAGGAGGCAACTTAAGCCATGATTGCATCAGATCTTCCTCTTCTGCTACTCCAGCCGCTTCATGTTGACCCTCCGTCCAAATCTCGAGCAAAAGATGACATTTACCACTTGTCTTTGTAACAGGACCCCCTCACAGCAGCTTTCTTCTGCTTTCGTTCTGTTTGTGTAAACGATACCACAAAGAAATACTAATAATGACATACATAATGAATTAGTATGTGGAATCACCTGGTAAAGTTTTCTGAAGCAAGATGCATCCCTGATTTTCCAGATGATCCGATCCAGAAGATGGCAGCCACTCCAACCATGATCAGTTGTTTCATTTCTTTGCCAAAGTTTTTAGCGTGTGTTCTTTAATCCATCTTCCTGACTTCTACTCCCTTGTTTTTCATGTGCACGCTTCCTGACTAATAAATGATTCGTTTTTTAAAAAAATCTATAAAAGAATTGCTTTACAAAAGCATATTAATCTATTTTCTAAGTTTTTTAAGCTAATACTTTATTATAATCATGCGTTAATCTATGCTCCATTTTACATGCCGGAGAGGATGGGTTTCCAAATCCTCCTTCTAAACTCGCCCTAGCCAGTCCTAATTCCTAAACATGTGCATTCCTCACTGTTTTTTTTTTCTTTTTACAATAAATCACATTCCCGGACCAGTTTGGCCACTGGACAATCAATTAAGAGATTTGAATAGTTTTATTTGTGTTTTCTATCTTTTTCGCTCCATTCCCTTTTAAACAGGAACATATCATATACACACAAGTTTTCTCATGTACACATCATGTACAACAAATAACAAACTTTACCAAATTAAATTTTAGAAAAAAATATATATGTACTTTTAGTAGCATCACATTTATATGTAAAATCTTATCTTCAAATCCATTCTATATATATGGAGCACAAAAAAGATAAAATTCTGATCGATTTATAACCTTAAAACTGTCAATTTTTTTTTGTTATAGCTAAAATATGATGAATTTGATGTTAAGACTTTACCCATGAGTGTAATGATATTAAAAAACACATGTATATTTTTTTTCTAGATTCTTCGGTGAAACTTATTAGTTGGTGTGTCCTATGTGTATACGAAAAGCTTAGGTGTACATGATACATTAAACACATAGCGATTTTTATTTTCAACTGGGCTTGAAGCCCCCAATTTTTTTACACAAAGTTAATTTCTTGGTATTTCATAGCTTTATAGAAATAATTCATGGTTAAATATCCATTTCTCATTATATCCCAAAGATAACATATCCGGTGAAAATGAGTTAAGCGTTGGAAACTTGTGAAAATCATATTTTATAAATAAACCCTTAAAAAAATTATCCCAGAAATGGTTCCTTTTGAACGCAAGAGTGGCTGGCGCCGCCCCTTGCCACCGTGGCACAATACGGCGGCCAGATACTGACGTAGCAGGGGGAGCACGCCAAATGATGCTCCCTCCCCCAGCACCCTCCCAGCGCGAGTCGGAGTGTTGCTCTTGCTCTCTCTCTCTCTCCCCTCTCCTTAAATGCACTAAGATTTATCGGTGAGAGACTTTCTGTTCTTTGTTGTTTTTGTTTTTTCTATAGTCGGAAAAAATTAGTAGATTCGATTTCCGTAATCCTATAAACTCTTGAGCCTTTTTTTTACATCCTATAAAAAAAGTTAGGGTTTGTTGAGTTCATTTTTACTTGTTATATTCGAGTGTCCTTCCTTAAAACATATATAACTTTTTCATATTAACTCGGAATCAGGCAAATTATATATCTACGGACATCTATATAAAAAGTTCATCCTATTCTCTCTGCTTCGTCGGGTTCAGCGAAATCAGAATCTCAAAATTCCACTTGGAAGATTTTGTTTTCGAGGTAAGAAGCTTTTCGATACAACTTTGAAAAATTCTACAAGTAACATATTTCGTCTGTTTGAACTAATTTTTTCTATGGTTTGTTCCTATGTGCTCCTAAGTGTGAAAAAAATATCAAAAAATTTTAAAAAACTTGGACCTCTCTTTCCTCTACACTAGTGGGTGGCGCCGTGGGTGGGAGGGGAGCCGACACCAACATGGCGCGCTCCACTGCCACGTCAGCGCGGACCGCCACGGTGGCAAGGGGTGGTGCCAGAGAGGCCGACGCCGTCCCGTTGGATAGCAGTGCCAGCGACTCTGACGCTCAAAAATGATTATTTCTGGGATAAGTTTTTTAGGGATCTATTTGTAAAATAAGTTTTCGAAAATGACCAAATTATGAAAACATCCAGGCAATGGATCTGAACAAACCAAGCACAAGAACACAACAAAACAAGGCGATTCTTTTCTTCTTTTTGTCCTCTCCACAGATGCAATATTCACAATTTGCAGCCTCTCTCTCACACACACTGATGACTGACCCCGCCACCTTCTCGTAATTGCACATGGCTGGTCTCACTGTCAAACTGGCCCCACGCGACCAGTTTGCTCTGCCGTCCGTGCACACGTACAGCACACCGAATAAAATGGCAGCAACCTATACACACACAAGAGAGAACCCCATTGCCATAGACAAATAGTGGCGGCAGGTTCAGCATAGGGCAGTGATACTAGCTAGTAGTGGCACTACTCCTTTCCTTTTCTTTTTCCCTCCTTGAGATTCTTCTCACTTTCATGCCGTCTCCCTTCCATCGCCACAAAGGCAGTACGAAATTTCGAGTTCCTGGTCTCCTGGAGAGGGCAGCAGAAAGGGAGAGAGTATGGAGATGGCGCTAACTCCATTGCCGCTCCTGTGTTCGTCCGTCTTGTTCTTGGTGCTATCTTCGTGCTCGTTGGCCAATGGGAGGGATACGCCTTCTTCTTCTTCTTCTTCTTCTTCTTCTTCTTCTTCTTCTTCTTCTTCTTCTTCTTCTTCTTCTTCTCCGGCGACGTCTACTGTGGCCACCGGCATTTCCGCCGCCGCCGCCGCCGCCGCCAATGGGACGGCCGCCTTGTCTTCGGCAGTTCCGGCGCCTCCGCCTGTTGGTACGTACGTTGCTGGTGCTGAAAGCTGAAATTCAGAATTTTGGTGTGTGTGTGTGTTCTTACTGTTTTGTCGGTTTCGAGTTTGGAACTGTTTCTCTTTACAGAGTTTGTCCTCTCTGCAGATTTGGTTAAGCATGCACTGTTCTTCTTGATGGCAAAAAGAAATATATTTTTTTGGGGGGATCGACATTGTGTTGCCTGCATTCGAACCAACAACTCTGCTTTATTTCTAGCTGAACAAAAAGAAAATCTTCTTTGTTTTGAGTTCTCAAAATCTGCATTTTGGGATGTTACGTTTTGTTCAAATTTGAGGGGGAAAAACGTGGCATCAACGTTATTGCGGAAATCTCGCTGCGTGTTTTAATGCAATCGTACCTGTTCTTTCGTTAGAGTTTACTGTCATCAAATCTTTCCAGGATTCAAGGCCGTTTCAAAGATTAAACCAAAAAAAAAAAAAGATGGCGCATCTGTTCATGTCCAATTAATTTACTCCTACTTAGTGGGTCTCAAGCTACCTGTGCTGGCTTGCAGTGATCGTAGTGCACCACCATTTCCACCGCGAGCTGGTCATCGCCGCCGTCCTCGCCTGCATCGCCACCGTCACGATCTTCCTTTCCACGCTCTACGCTTGGACACTATGGCGGCGATCTCGCCGGAGCACCGGCGGCAAGGTCACCAGGAGCTCAGGTCGATCTTAACCCCGCTCATTCAATCGCTCACCCAATTTTGGGTTCTTGAGCTATCTGTAATTACAATTCTGGCTTAATCCACATGGTTCAGACGCAGCGAAGGGGATCAAGCTGGTGCCGATCTTGAGCAGGTTCAACTCGGTGAAGATGAGCAGGAAGAGGCTGGTTGGGATGTTCGAGTACCCGTCGCTGGAGGCAGCGACAGAGAAGTTCAGCGAGAGCAACATGCTCGGTGTCGGCGGGTTTGGCCGCGTCTACAAGGCGGCGTTCGACGCCGGAGTTACCGCGGCGGTGAAGCGGCTCGACGGCGGCGGGCCCGACTGCGAGAAGGAATTCGAGGTGACTCTGTTGCTGGTCATGGTCAATTGTTGGTGAGAACTTTTACGGTACAATTTACTAGTAGTAGTATATACTGTCAGTATAAACAACGCAATGCCATTAGCCCATCAGTAAACTTGCAACCTATATACTGACAGTATATACTATCAGTAAATTGTACCGTAAAAGTTCAGTTCCCATTGATAAGGGGAAGTATGGTGTTCAGTGTTGTTGAGCTGAATTGCTTTGGGGTTGTGGTTGTTGGCAGAATGAGCTGGATTTGCTTGGCAGGATCAGGCACCCCAACATTGTGTCCCTCTTGGGCTTCTGTATCCATGAGGGGAATCACTACATTGTTTATGAGCTGATGGAGAAGGGATCACTGGAAACACAGCTTCATGGTATAGTATTTATTGTCCTGTATGATTGGGCTCTGCCTTGTCAGTTGTCACTCACTCACAGTCACAGCTAGCTGCAGCTTAGCTCTTCCATGAGATGAGATCTTCCTTCCAGATTGGGAGCTTTTGATATGTGTAGTGGTTGTCTTCAGGGTCTTCACATGGATCAACTCTGAGCTGGCACATCCGGATGAAGATCGCCCTTGACACGGCCAGGTTCTTATAATCTTATCCCTCCACTTTCCTTCACACTGAATGATGCTCTTTTTTAAGAGAAAAAAATGATTTGGTGAATGATTAGCTGGTTATAATATGCACTGGTAAAATTAAAATTTGTCAGGGGATTAGAGTACCTTCATGAGCACTGCAGTCCACCAGTGATCCATAGGGATCTGAAATCGTCTAACATACTTTTGGATTCAGACTTCAATGCTAAGGTACACTCCTTTAATTTTCAGAAAGGCCAAACTATCTTGTTCATATTGACAGCAGGTCCTAGTGCTGGGATCAAAGTTAAAATTTGGTGAAGCTTCAGTTGTTGTACTTTGCTGAAATTTGCAGATTGCAGATTTTGGTCTTGCTGTGTCTAGTGGGAGTGTCAACAAAGGGAGTGTGAAGCTCTCCGGGACCTTGGGTTATGTAGCTCCTGAGTACTTGTTGGATGGTACTATGTCTTCCTCGTCCCAAATCATACTCCTATTTGTTGACAAAACTATATTATTGACACTGAAATGCTACTTTCATTATGTGACATTTAGCGGCCATGTCGATTTCAGGGAAGTTGACTGAAAAGAGCGATGTATACGCGTTCGGAGTAGTGCTTCTAGAGCTCCTTATGGGGAGGAAGCCTGTTGAGAAGATGTCACCATCTCAGTGCCAATCAATTGTGACATGGGTACAGTGCAATGTTTAAATTCACCTGTCTGAAAAAAATTTAAATTCAGATCGCATCATTTTGTCGGTCCATTAACATGATTTTGAACTTTTCCTTTCTCTTTCAATGCACATAGCATGCTTTGAATTTATCACAAGAAAAACATTGAGTTTAATTGGAGAGAATGTTCAAGCAGTCAAATTTCATCTCTTTTGAGAAACTTTTAACTTGTTTTAACCAAACAGGCAATGCCACAGTTGACCGACAGATCGAAGCTCCCCAGCATAGTTGACCCAGTGATCAAGGACACCATGGATCCAAAACACCTGTACCAAGTACTCATCATGAACACCTGCTAACATTATCTGATCAGACACATTTATCTACAAGGTTGAAAATACATATTCCCATACCATGTGCAGGTTGCAGCAGTGGCTGTTCTATGCGTGCAGGCTGAACCAAGCTACAGGCCACTGATCACAGATGTGCTCCACTCTCTTGTTCCTCTAGTGCCGACGGAGCTCGGAGGAACACTAAGAGCTGGAGAGCCACCTTCCCCGAACCTGAGGAATTCTCCATGCTGATATCTGAATATCTGATACAGCAAGTTTGTCAAAGCAAGGGAAAATATTTATACAGTTTAGTATAGATTCTTATGTATAACTTATGTTACCTGTACTTGCTCCTTGTTTGAGGACGAGAGTTAGTCCAACCTATCGCTTCTTGGTTGGATTGAGAGACAAGTCTCACTTTCATACTCCCTCCGTATTTTAATATACGACGTTGTTGACTTTTTGATAAACATTTGACCTTCCATCTTATTCAAAAAATTTATGTAATTATAATTTATTTTATTGTGACTTGATTTATCATCAAATGTTCTTTAAGCATGACATAAGTATTTTTATATTTGCATAAAATTTTTGAATAAGACGAGTGGTCAAACGTTGGTTAAAAAGTCAACGGCGTCATACGTTAAAATACGGAGGGAGTATATGTTTTCTTGTACAAAGTAGGGAGAGAATGCGTTTGGATCTGATATCCTCTGCACATATGAAAACTTTTTCCAGAGTACTGTAGCTCAATAGCATTTGAGAAAGCTATGTTTTGTGCTCTGCATTTTGGTTAAGATATGCATTCCAGTTATTGAGTTCAGAGTATTTATAACAAGAAGCATTCTTTGTATCATTTTGTTTGACATTTTGGTTAAGTCTGTTGTTGCCATAGTTTTCTTCTACTGTTTGTGGTGTATGTGGGCAGCAACTAATATAGTCTGTCCACAACGGAACAAGAATCTTGAAGGTGAGAAGATCCTGATCATTGTACATTTGCACCCACATAACAACTGCAACTTGGCATCAACTGCCAACTGCAGATGTGCATATTAGGTAGGAAAGAATCATTCTGCATTATATAAACCGTGATCAGAGATGTTTACATGCACAAAATAGTGTAAGTTCCTGTATTGAATATGAAGTTGGTGCTTAAACTTGTTTATTGACGTTGTCCTTTTCACCTTTTATGACTGTGCTGATAACTTCTTCTCACCTTTTATGACTGTGCTTAAACTTGTTTATTGACGTTGTCTTATTCAAATCTTTTTTTGCAAATATAAAAAACGAAAAGTTGTGTTTAAAGTACTGTAAATAATAAAGTAAGTCACAAATAAAATAAATAATAATTTCAAAAAAATTTGAATAAGACAAGTGGTCAAACGTTGTAAGCAAAAACTCAAAATCCCTTATATTATGGGACGGAGGGAGCAGTAGTTTCCCTGGCTCTGATGACATGATGCTTACCATGCTGGTTGCTGGATCTGATCAATTCTTCAGAAACATTGATGAGGGAAGAAGTGCTTGTACATGGCTGAGATGTCAGCCAACCCCACCGGAAAAATCATCAACTCAAGCTACTAACTTCTGGATGCACCTCATTTAATAAGCCTTGGCTAGAAAGAAGAGGAACTGGATACTGCAGGATCAGCTTTGTTTGACAGCGAGATGGCATCTGCATCTTTCATATCTACAATAACTGCATGAGCCTGCATTTGCCAGCTCCATGTTCATCTTCAGGATAATGCACGCAGATTAGTTGTACATGAGGATTATTAGTTTTCTGTTGCTGCACTTGCAATCGAAAGTTTTTCTGTTGCTGCACTTGCTCTTGAAAGTGGCAAGTTTCAGTTAGCCATTTGCAGTACATGTTTTTTTTGTCTTGCCTGTACTTTGGCCCCTCCTTAATTGAGCTTTATTTTAGCATAGGTGATTTGACACATTCATCTTTTTCGATCCTTGAAGAGCCGTCTGTGCCCTCTAATTCAAGTATCTATGATCTGTCTAGTAGATGATCAGATGTTTGCACGATAATATATGTTTTCCTTTCTGGATGAAGATAGAGGCTTAGGGGCTGCTCAGATTGATGTCATTTTCAACCATACTATTTTTATTTTGGTATAGTTGCTAAAAATATGTCTATGTTTAGTTTGTCGCCAAACTTTGACAAATTCATAAGAAATCCTATCAAAATTTTGATAATATTGCCAACTTACCAAAATTTAGTAAGATTTATTTAGCTACAATATATACATGCCCTTAATTAATTAACACAGCAACAGAGAGACGTGCCAATAGTGGGACTGGAGCCAATGAGCCATGACGAAGTTATGGCTTATGGTGCAACTACCGCTTGAATGAACATCTTTTTTATTCTATCCTTAAAAAATGACTTATTTGCTACTTGGTCTACTTTTTTTATTCTGCTTCATGTTGAGTTTTGATTTTTTTTTGGGAGGTGTTCCTTTTGATAGCGGTATTTTTTTAAAAAAAACAACAAAATTGTGACGACAATTGAAACAAAATTAATCACTCCAGCCTTTCCAGATTGTTGCAAAATTGAGAAAGATGACGTTTCCAAAAAGTTTATTTCCTTTCTTCAGTCGTTGGGGGATAGCATGGTATTTTTGGCTCCGTTCTTTACTCTTTTCTTATTAAGTTATATATTCTACCTTGATTTTTGTTATCACGTTTTTCAAATAGCTAAACGATATATTTCGTGTGAAAACTTTTTATATAGAAGTTGCTGAATACATTTTTCAAGTTCTTGTAATTAAAACTCAATTAATTACCCCTCCGTTAACATCAATATAAATGTGAGAAATGATAGAATGACTTATATTGTGAAACGGAGGAAATATACGCTAATGGTTATTTTTATTTTTTCCCTAACTTCATTTTTATTTTTAGTAGAAATTAACACCACCTAAGGTCTTTTAGTTTGAATCATGTAAGATTCTTTTGGCACATGGTGTATCCGAGCTTTATAATATGCTTTCAATAGAAGCGAGGAGAAAAATCGACGAAGATCATGACATCGGGCAATAGCCAGAACAATTTGATTTCTTACCTGGTGATAGGAACTAATCGGTGTTATTTTCCTTGGACAAATCTCTTGTTTTGTCCCTCAAAAGAAAAACGGTAGCATATTAGCGTCTTTTGGGGGGTTTAAGTGCCATTTACCTTATTCTTTTGGGGGCTAATGGAATATTTTAGGCCCAGAACTATTACTGGGCCACCAAAATGTTCTTATGGGCCGAACAATTACCATTTTTTGTTCATCACTAATTTTGATTCCCCAGCCCACAGTTTACTCCATATGAGCTGTACACCGCAGTCCTCTTAATATATGCTATTTGTAGATTTTTTTTATTTTTATTTTATTCATTAAAATATTTTAAAATAATTTTTATTTTTAAAGTATTATAACTCTAACACCCTTCTGGAGTGGTTTTTTTTTTCAAAATGTGGCACAACCTTAATATATGCTAACTGTTGTACATGGGGCTGGCCATTTTGTTGCAGACGATCCCTTAGGACCTCCAGGAAAGCGACTAGGGGGCCGTTGGCCCTCTTACATCCCTCTAGGAGGGCAGAATAGTTAGCCCTCATTCACACAGTCATTAGCATGCGCTAACCGCGTATGACGTCATAAAAAACACTCTTCGAAAGGGTGCTCTTTAAAACCACCATTCCAGAGAATGTTAGGAGTGTGATACTTTGAAAATAGAAATTGTTCTTTAAATATTTTAATATATAAAATGAAAAGTTCGGTATTTCTATACTCCAAGGCTAGAATCTTTGTATAACCTTGAATAGTAAATGATAGTTCCACGGGATTTAGAGAAACTGTATAAGGACGATATAGTTGGCCAGAAGGCCCGTAGCTCGACGGCCTGGCCCACGACATGAAGATTTGGCTTGGCCTAGGCACAACAAGGCTTGATTGTTGTCGGGCCCGTGCCAACCCGACCCAACCCGACCGTTGGGTCGTGCCTTGGCCTCTTCCTCGACACGACATGCTGGCTTGGCACGACATAGCCCAATAATAAGCACAACCACGGTCCGACATGCCCCGCTCCTGCACGCTGTAGCCTATCGGCACGGTCCAAGGAGATGAAGGACACAAAATAGACTTATGGGAGGTAAAATAGACTTATTCGAAGGATGAGCACGATGGGCTGGTCGTTTCTTCGGGCGACACGACCGCCCGAAGTGACCTGAGTTTTTATTGGGTCGTGCTTAGGCCGTATGTGCAACCCGTGGGCGGGTACGGCATGACTGATCTCAAGCCGTGCCTTGGTCGTGCCCGAGTCGAATCGTGCCAAGCGATCTCTATAAACAATGATAAAAATGTATTTGAACCCATCGAGGGCTATTCCCTCCTTTTTCTTGTCATTTAAATACTTATTTTTTAGAAAAATAGTAAAAAAATATAGATTGATATGCTATATACCACTTTGCAAACATGCGAATTAAAATTCGATCTTCCTAAGTTATAAAAAATTAACAGAATTAACTCTAACTTGTATACATGTGTTTATAGTCATATATTTTTTTCTATTGTAATTGTAGAAGTTCAAATGAAACTTGCATATTTATGGATTGCTATGTGACATATATATATATATATATATATATATATATATATATATATATATATATATATATATATATATATATATATATATATATATTTTTCATTTTTTCTGATAAAATGCAATAAAAGATGGAATATCCCCTCAAGGAATTAAAAAGAGTGTTACCTAAGAACAATTAGTACATGCTAAAACTTAGTTTGAAACATTAGGAAAAGGCTGATGGATTCTTCAACATATGCACAAACAAAGTACTAAATTAGCCCTCATTTTATTCTGGTCTTCGACCAATCAAACGTACCAACAAACCTACAACCTCTCCAAAGTAAAACCATTAAAACAACAAAAGCTACGTACCCCCATTATTCATCTGACCAAATTAAGACAGTCTCCTGACCCCGTTAAATTAAGCTGCCAAAAAAAAAGAAAAAAAAAGAATATCCTGTCTCACTTATCAAGCTAACGAGCAGCATCATCGATCATGTATGGTATTCATGCGTGTGAGATCGATGGTGCTAGCTAGACGGTGTAGTGGTTCTGGATGGTGTCGATGTCGAGGCCCTTGAGCTTGACCACCGACTCGACGTGGCCCTTGAGCGTGTGCAGCTCCCGTAGCCTGGCGATCTCGGCGCGGCGCTTCGCCTGCTCCGCGATCTCCGACAGCTCCAGGTAGTCCTTGTTGTCGTCGAACAGCGCCGTCGACGTCTCCGCCTGCTGCAGCCCGTGCAGCGACCTCTGCGCGATCGCCCACTGCGCCTCCCTCTTGCTCTTCCCGTAGTCCAGCTCGTTCGCGAACGCCGTCTGCTCGCGCGCAATCGACCAAACTCATTCCTATAATTAACATGCGATAAATGGGTGGACGTCCACCCGGGTGATTAGAATCCGTGTCTCCGTGTTTACCTTGTTGTCGAAGGCGTTGTTCCAGGCTTTGCCGCTGAGGAAGTAGCGGATGGCGAACTTGAAGATGTCGAGGGGGAAGAAGGTGACGATGCTGAAGAGCCAGATGACCATGCCCCACGACCACCCGATGCCCTTCATCTTCGCGAACGGCCAGTTCGCGTACACCGCGATCAGCGTTGCCATCTGCGTGCGTTCGCCGCCATTAGTCGCCGGAGAAGAGTCACTGCGCGCGCCGCGGCGGCGGCGGCTAACGAACTTCTTACCAGCTGGGCGATGAGGAACGCGCCGACGAGCAGGAGCCCTGGGCGCTCGACGAAGAACCAGCTCCTCGCGCGTGTCACGAAGATGAGCGCCTGGCTGATGATGCTCACCTGGAGGTACACCGCCGCCATCAGCTCCTCCGTGCTGCCTCCGATCGGGTGCACCCCGAACGTCCTCTGCCCACAAACACACGGCGTCAGAGCGCGCGGCGGCGAGGCGTGCGAGGTTGGGTGATGAGTGGTCACCGTGAAGAAGTCGGTGTCGCGGACGGCCCAGAAGAAGAGGACGGTGGCGAGGGCGAGGTAGGTGCCGAGGACGATGCCGGTGGCGAAGATCTCCTGGAGGCGCCATGCGTCGGGCAACGGGGACGGCTTGACGCGGTCCTTGGAGATGGTCATGATGGTGCCGTCGTTGAGGATGGCGATGATGAGCACCATGAAGGGCGCGAAGTCGAACCTCCAGATGAGCGCCAGGAGGAGGAAGCCGAGCACGACGCGGATGGTGATCGACACGGCGTAGATGGTGTAGTTCTTCATCCGCTGGAAGATGGCGCGGCTCGTCAGCACCGCGCTGATGATCACGCTAAGCCCGGGCTCCGTCAGCACGATGTCCGACGCCCCCCTCGCCGCGTCCGTCGCGTCCGCCACCGCGATCCCGATGTCCGCCTTCTTCAGCGCCGGCGCGTCGTTCACGCCGTCCCCCGTCATCCCGCAGATGTGCTTCCTCTCCTGCAGCCTCCGCACGATCTCGTACTTGTGCTCTGCATCATCATCATCATCATCAGTTCATCATCAGTTCTGCGCCATGGCTTCGCTTTTCCATCTTGTACTTGTGAAGGTCACTGGGAACGTACCGGGGAAGACGCCGGCGAAGCCGTCGGCCTTCTCGATGAGCTCGTCGACAGGGAGGCCGCCGGTGTCGCCGTCTTTGAGCAGAGAGCTGGAGGGGTACATGTTGGTGCCCATGCCGAGGCGGCGGCCGGTCTCCTTGCCGATGGCGAGCTGGTCGCCGGTGATCATCTTGACGTTGACGCCGAGGTTGAGCGCGCGACGGATGGTCTCGGAGCTGTCGTGGCGCGGCGGGTCGAAGAGCGGGAGCACGGCGAGGAACTGCCACGGCGTGCCCGGCGCGTCCTTGCTCCCCTCCGGCACCTTCTGCCTCGCCACCGCCAGCGACCGCAGCCCGCGGTCGGCGAACTTGTCGATGATGGCGTGCACCCGCCGGCTCACGTCGTCCCGTAGACGGCACAGCTCGATGATCTAAGCCACACACACACACGCACACCAACAAGATCAAATTCACCGATGCAATGCAAATGGTACAGAATTCATGGCTGAGCTGACGGTGGCCGGCCGGCCGGCTGACCTGCTCCGGCGCGCCTTTGCTGATGCGGTGCCACGAACCATCTTTGGTGTCGATGTAGGTGATGGCCGTGCGCTTGTCGACGGGGTTGAACGGCATGAAGTGCACCTCTTGGATGCCGGCACGGGCCTGCCACGTTCCAGACACGTCGTACGTCGTGAGATTTATTTGTAGAAGAAGAGGAAATTGGGAGCTTGTGTGATGTGTCCGTGCGAGCTTGAGGAGCTTCACTTACCTCGCTTGGGTCGGCGAGCATGCCGACGATGGAGGCGTCAATGGCGTCCTGGTTCTCGGTTCGCGACGCCCTCGCCGCGTACAGGACGATCGCGTCCTTGTCGAGATCCTTCACGAACGGCTGAAATCCAAATCCAAAGTGCGCGATTTGATTTGATGACAACTACTACTCGATCGATAGGGAAAAAAATTAACGGCAAAACTGAAAGATTAATGGTGTGTGCTGTGCGTGCCTCGATCATGTTCTTGTCGACGGTGAGCTTGTTGAGGGTGAGCGTGCCGGTCTTGTCGCTGCAGAGCACGTCCATGCCGGCCATCTCCTCGATGGCCGTCATCCGCTTGGTGATGGCGCCCTGCTGCGACAGCCGGTGCGAGCCGATGGCCATGGTCACGGACAGCACGGTGGGCATGGCGATGGGTATCCCGCCGATGAGCAGCACGAGGAGGTTGTCGATGCCGTCGCGGTACTGCCGGTGCTGGATCGGGTACATCACGATGATCTCGATCAGCATCCCGGCCGCGATGGAGCAGATGCAGAAGTTGCCGATCGCCGTCAGCACCTGACCACCATTGATGGTGAGCAGAGCAAGCAAGCAGTTGGCACCTCTCCGACGAGAAGTGGCGGATGGATGCATGCATGATACCTTCTGGAAATGGCCGACGTTGTTGGTGCTGTCGACGAGGTGGGCGGCCTTGCCGAAGAAGGTGTGGACGCCGGTGGCGATGACGACGGCCTCAATCTCGCCCTGCTTGCAGGTGGAACCCGAGTAGATGCTGTCGCCGGGCATCTTGTTGACGGGGAGCGACTCGCCGGTGAGCGCCGACTGGTCGATCTTGAGCGGGTCGCCCTCCATCAGCCGCGCGTCCGCCGGGATGATGTCGCCGAGCTTGATGCTGATGATGTCCCCGGGCACCAGGATCGCCGCGTCCTGCTCCGACCACTTCCCGTCCCTCAGCAACTGCATGCACCGACCATCGATCAGTCAGTCAGTCAGTCAGTCATTCCGTCGAGCACAGATAGGTCAGTGTTCGTCCATGGCGTGGCGCACTGCGCACGCGCGACGTGCCTTGGTCTGCGGCGCGAGGCTGGCCATGAGTGCGGCGGCGGCGTTCCCGGCGTTGTTCTCCTCGATGAAGCTGATGGTGGAGTTGATGAAGAGCAGCGTCACGATCCCGACGAAGTCCTGCCAGTCCGGCGGCCGCCCCTGCACGCACGCATGCATGCACGCGTCAGATCGACGGCGGTCAAAACACACACAACTGACGCGACGGCGACGGGGACGGGCGACGCGTACCCCTCCGTTGGCGAGGGCGATGGCCATGATCGCGGCGGCCTCCATGACCCAGGAGAGCGGATTCCACATGAACCCCAAGAACTTGAGCAGCTTACTCTCCTGCATGCCAATTTCACATATTTTATACGTACGCGAGACCCAAAACACACAAACTCGTTCTTGATCGAACACACGATTCTGAATTCTGACCTTCTTCTCCTCGAGCTTGTTGCGGCCGAAGATCTCGAGCCGGCCGTTGCCATCGGCGGAGGTGAGCCCCTGCGGCGAGCTCTTGAGCACGGCGAACACCTCCTGGATCGGTATACTCTCCTGCAACCAACCAACCAACCAACAACGCCACAATGACACACGGATCACACGCACACACGGATGAACGCAATATTGGCGGAATGATGAAGAACACTGACGAGGTCGACGTTCTCCTTCTTGAGATCCTCCAGTGAGACCGACATGGTTGCCCCCCCGCAGCAAGGTCCCTAGCTAGGCCAGATCGATCTGGAGCAGGGTGTTTCGATCGCTAGCTAGTCAGTTAGGCTCATTGGTGTGTATCTCAAAAGACTTTTTCTTTGGGCGTTTGTTGGATCTGTGCTTGGTTTTCTCGATCCAGTGGAGCTAAAGAGTGGTTGTGGGACGAGGAGACGGCAAGAAATAAGGAGGTTGCAGCACAGTGGCAGTCTGCAGCGCTGAACCCGTTCCAACACTTCCACTCATTTCGGGAGAGGGGGTCCTATATATAATTTCCCTGACGAATTTGCATGCGGATTAGTATTATTTCATTATTTGTGGAGGCGACTAAGCCGCGCGGAAGCAAATCAGCGCTATTCCGTTACGGCATATGCAGTTGAGCCACTGACATGTGGGTCCCACTTTTGCTATGGCCCCACATGTCAGTGGCTCAGCTACACTCTTCCATGCCGTGCACAGTCACCCAGTGAGCTTAACCAGCGACCCTTCCTTTTTTACTATAAATAGTAAACACACGTCTCCTCTTTCCGGAGTACTGTAGAAACAACAGCGGTGTCAACTGTCATCCCTGTCTGTGTTTCCCAGTGTGCATGGCCTCTGAGTTGCACAGCTTCACACATGCAACTTCAATACGAATCTAAGATTCTACAATTTCTTGCCTTTGGCAAAATAACCATCAAAATGCACAGGAAAAAAGAGTAGTTATATTTATTTATCATGTTATAGTAAATTTCACAAAGCTACAAATACTTCGATCAAACTATCATAAAGCTATAGATTTAAGATCTTATATCGTAAAACTATATATTTAACGCAAAATTTCTCACAGAACTACATATTTAGGATGGAATGTTATAAAATTGAAGAGTAAGTAGTAAATTTATCCCAAAACTACGACGTTTATAGCTCCAACATAATGTTAATATAAAATCTATATTGAATCTGTAGTTTTCTGATAACTTTAATATAAAATCTGTAATTTTGTGATACTTAATATTAAATCTATAGTTTTATAATAAATTTCCCACTAAGGCTTTGTTCGGCTGCACTACAATGCAGTTGTTTCTGGCTTTCTACTGCAGCCACACACACATATTATTGTTTAGGTAGGCTACAGCATAGTAAAAAGAAATGCAGCCGAACAGGCCCTAAATCTATAGTTTTGTGATAGAACGTTTTAAATATATAGTTTTACAATAGTTTGGCCAAAATATCTATAGTTTTGTGAAATTCACTTCAAATCATTTTAACACTGTAAATTACCTACACTTACATGTTAACTACATTGTACGTTCCAATATTTATATTGTAAATTTTCTAATACACGGTATATAATAACTTAGTTATAGATATTGTTGTGCTACAATTATAAGGGATCACCGCTGATATGAATTATCCTCCCTACTAAGAAGCCGTTACAATGCACGGCTGGCACATAAGTTGCATAAAACGAGGAATTACTCGTTTACCTTTTTTTTTTGTTAGGGAAATAACTCGTTTACATTATTCATATGCATTAAATCTTAGCAAATGCAATACCTTACATTTGTCTTACAATAGTACAACCATACAATACCCATTACCAAATTATGTAAAACATAGGGAGTTAGGGACAGAACATACTCTGTTCTCTAGCAGAATTCTTTTGTCCCACGTGCCCTCCACTCATTCGATATATGATTATGCATGAATCAATGCAAATATAAGATAAACCGGCGTAGTCGTTAAATTTCCATATCCAGCACGAGCGAGGTGTCCCCTTTGTCGACGGTGAACGTCTTGAGTATCTTCCCCGTCGCCGTCGTCACCTGCACGACGTACGTGCCATGGTAGCCCCTGAACGTGAAATGGCCGTCGCCGTCGATGGTCCCGCGCGCGTCGGACGTCCACTCCCGCCGGAGATTGACCAGCCTCTGGCCGGCCTCGTTGACGGTGCCGTCGGCGTCGACGAGGGACGCGTCCTGGCGCCACATGCGGCCCTGCATGAAACCCCAGAGCACGACGCCGGCGACGGCCGGGTGCGCGTACGCCTCGCGGAGCACCACCTCCAGGTCGTCGGCGCGGAGGGACACGTCGGGCTCGCTCACGTCCAGCTCGGTGATCCAGATGGGGAGCCCCGTCGACGCGGCGAGCTTGTCGAGCGCGCCGCAGATGACCTCGCCGGACGGGTTGGAGACGTGGCCCTGGATGCCGACGCCGCCCACCGCCGCGCCGCCGCGGCGGAGCGCGTCGATCAGCTCGATGTACTTCTCGGGCGTCGCGTTGGGGTCGTTGGCGCACTCGACGTTGTAGTCGTTGACGAAGAGCCGCGCGGCCGGGTCCAGGCGCGCGGCCTCGCGGAACATGAGCGCGGCGGCGTCGTCGCCGAGGCGGTCGCGGTAGAAGCGGCCGTGCAGCATCTCGTTGTTGACGTCGTAGTGCGGGAAGCGGCCGGCGTAGCGGGACAGGAGGCCGGTGAGGCGGCCGCGCACCGCCGACGCGAGGTCGTCGCGGCCGAGGTCCTTGATCCACTGCTGCACGGAGCCGTCGACCGCCCAGAAGATGCAGTGGCCGCGCGCCGGCTTGCCGTGGCGGTCGCAGAAGTCGAGCAGCGCGTCGGCGTCGCGGTAGTTGAGCAGGCCGCGCTGCGCCTCCGTCCAGTACCACTTGAGCTCGTTCTCGAAGACGGCCCAGTCGAAGTTGTTGGTGAAGAAGTCCACGAAGTTGGGGTCCTGGATCACCGAGCCGTTGATGCAGGTGCCGAGCGGGAAGACGTTGTCCATCTGCACCACGCGGACGGCCGCGCCGGGGATGCTCGCCGTCGCCTCCACTCCGGCTCCGCCGCTGAACTTGAGGACGACGTCACGCTTGCGAACCTGAAATGGCCAAATCCGATGTGAATATGACATGGTCCCGATCAACATGCATGGTACTATATTGTTAGTTAATGTGATCATTCAGAGTGAGAGATGTTGTCTTACCTTGTCGGTCTTCTCCTTGAGATGCCTGAACCGCGCCTTGCGGTCGGCGGCGAACACACGGAGGTCCATGAGCTTCACGTCGACGCCGGCTGGCGCGCCGTGGACGTGCACCGCCGTCGCGCCGCGCGGGGTCGCCTTAAGGCGGAACGCGCCGTTGATCTCCACCCAGCCGCCGGCCACTCCGGCGCACACCGCGCCGCAGCCGAGAACGCGGCACTCGCCGCCATCGTCCACGTGGAGGCTGACACGCACCACGTGGCTCTCCCCGCCGGCGTGTTCGCCGCCACCGCTCTGCACGGCGACCCACCCGGCGACACGGTACGTCACCCGGGGCACGAGCGCGCCGGCCGGGACCGGGTGCCGCAGCCCGTCCTCCTCGCCGTCACGGCGCGCCGCGAGGACGTACCGAGAGCCGCTCGGCCGGTGCTCGCGCCCGCCGTCGTCCACAGCCGGGAGCATGGCCGCCGGCGGGTCGTCCTTCTCGACGTGAGCGGACAGCGTGGTGCGCGAGCCGACCGGCGCCCAGCCGGCGAGGCTGCTGGCCTCGTCCGCCGGTGCGGCGCCGTTGTTGCCGATCAGGTTCACGCCGAAAGCAACCTCCCTAGTGCAAGCCATAGTAGAAAAGGGGCTAAGAATCGATGAGCTAAGAATGCAAGAAGTGAGCTTGCTTGCTGTGTTGCAGTGCAGTGGTGGTGAGTGCACTGGATCAGTGCAGAGGCTGCCTATTTATAGGGCAAAACGGACCTGCATGCATGCGTCGCTACGGCGGCGCCGTCAAATCATGAACGGTTGGTATGCTAGCTTGTGGGTGAAGCGTACGTATCTGAAAGGCTGAGAAAATGCTGTGTGCATCAACTTGCCTGAAGCAAAACCGCAGTGAATCTAAGCTTGAGTAGCAGTAAAGATTTGGCAAAACAGGATATCAGGTTAATTTTGATTGGTAGGAGAGTATACCAAGGTTCGATTGTAGACTTGTAGTTTCTATAAGCGCGAGATCTAATTAGCGCCGCTTCTGCCCGGCCGTCTGCCGTGCGCCGCCGACGCGACACGGCTGCGCCTGACGCGCAATAGATAATTCCGAGTTTTTTTTTGAATTCTTAAATTCAAGTAAACTTTTGTATCCCCGCAAAAAAAAAGTAAAATTTCGTGAGAGAATTTCTTAACGTAAAGTGTCATTTCAAAACTGAAAATTTTGAGTAAAATTTCTAAACAAATGAGAACTTTTAACTCAATTTTGAAACTTTCGACTCACCATTTAGACCAATCTTGGCTACATTGAGGATTCCCTTATAAGCAAAGGAGGGGTTAAGCATGTAACCTATATTAGATACTTCTTAATTAAAAGAGTACATTTCATAGAACCCAGATCTACTAACATAGTAATATTGTTCGACTTGCAAAAAACATAACCATTTTGACACATGAGACATAACCTGGTTTCATAAAATAAACATGTTGGTAACCAATTTGACTTGCTATTGTAGCAATATAAAAGACACATAAATTAGATGGCTAAGACTGGCATGATGTTCAAAAATAATATTTGACTTATAATTTCTCATATAATTTTATAGAAACAAAATTATAATTATATGAAAGTAAATTCAAATGTCAAATCCAATGATATTATTTTCAACAAATAAAATTCAATTCATATTATACTAATTACTAAACAAATGTTTTAAAAGTTGAATCTAAAAATATGTGCGCACTTTATATTATGGGATGGAGGAGTGTAATATCTTGCTATCTAATGATCCATTATCTTATTATCTAGAAGAAAAGGTTTCTAATAATCGTGTCCATTGTTCAAATCATTATGTGGCTAAAATTTAAATTTGAAATTTCTAAAATATTAGTGATACTTGCAGTTTAATCTGTTGCTCATTTTGGCTATATTTAGTTTTTTTTTCTAATTATTTGTCTATTTATGTAGACTTTTAGCTCGAATGATTTTATCACTGCTTATGATTTATCCGCTCAATACTCAAAAGACTGAATAGAAATGAATAAATATACAAATTACACTCTCTTGTATCATCATATTTTTATGTTTATATGATATAGTTAGGGGTGGGCAGGAAGCTCGTGGCTCGTTAGCTCGCTCGTCTTGGCTCGTTTAAATTTCGTAACGAGCTGAGCTGGCTTTAAAGCTCGTTAGAGATAATGAGCTCGAGCTAGCTCGTGAGCCTTAACGAGCCAGCACTCTAAGGCCCAAGCCCAACAAACAATGAGACAACACAAGTTACTCAACGGCCCAAGCCCAACTGAAAGGAAAACCCTAGAGACTACCCTCGGTCTCCCACTCTCCCCGATTTCCCTGTCTCCCGCATCCTGCCATTCCTGCGCCGCATGCCCGCATCATGCGCCGCCAATCCCCTTTCACACCGGCGTGCGCCGCCGCCAGCGCCGCGTGCTGTAGCCGCCAGCCGCCAGCCCATGGACGAGCTCCTCCTCCTCCTCCTCCTCCTTCGCCGCCGATCGCCAGCCCGCCGACGAGCTCCTCCAGCACGGCCTCATCGTCGCATACAGATGGCGGCCGGGTGGAGCGTGTGCCCCGTCGGCGACGTGCGGCGGCACGTCGAAGCCGAGCTCGCTGCCACCGTGCTAGAGTCCCTGACGAAGGAGGCCGCCGCGCCGCCCGCATGCCGCATCCACCCCTTACCCCTAGTTGCGCCGCGCCCCGCTGAGAAGAGGAGAGGCCTGGCCGCCTGGATGGTTTGGTTCGCAAGCCTAACGAGCTACCTCGAGCTTTCAAATGAGCCAAGCCAAGCTGGGTTTCTAGCTCGTTACGATAACGAGCCGAGCCGAGCCAGCTCCTATCTTAACGAGCTTGACCGAGCCGAGCTGGCTCGCTATCCACCCCTAGATATAGTATTATCTATGGTAAGTCTTAAATTTTGCATATATTTTTTATGCTATTTTCTTTGGTGGGTGTCATAAGGCGTATTGAAGGAAAATAAAACTCCTCAATTTAGGTAAGCAGGTACTCCCTCCGTTTCAGGTCATAAGACGTTTTGATTTTGGTCAAAGTCAAATTGCTTTAAGCTTGACTAAGTTTGTAGAAAAAAGTAGAAATATTTTCAACCCAAGACAAATTTATTATGAAAATATATTCAATTTTTTATTTGATGAAACTAATTTAGTATTATAAATATTACTATATTTGTTTATAAACTTAGTCAAACTTGAAACAGTTTGACTTTGACCAAAGTCAAAACGTCTTATAACCTAAAACGGAGGGAGTAAATATTTAGGACTGATGTAATATATTTGTAAATAACAAAATGATATGCAAATTGTAAAGTTACTTCCAAAAAAATTATCATATTTCTACAGGGAAGGACGAAGGAGTATTATACGTCTTTTACAAAAAGTACTACTAGATGGAATAATTCTGCTGGAGGTCATGGGTGGAGGGGTGGCTTTGGTCTCAATGCTGGTCCGAGCGGAGGTGGATTTAATGGCGCTGGGTTCCAGCATTCTTTAGGATTTGCTGCTCGGCCAGATGGAGGTGGAGTTGGTGCCGGAAACCTGGTTTTTGGTGCGGTACCAGGGATGTCTGCTCCTGTTTTCCCGGCTGCTGGCGGAGGTGTGTTGCCGGCTGGCGCTTTGCTGACTGGTGTTGCGCCAGGTGGTGGATTGCAGATGGCTGGTGGTGGTGTGCTGACTGGGGTTTTGCCGGCTGGCGCTGTGCCGACTAGTGGTGCGCCGGGTGGTAGATTGCAGATGGCTGCCGGTGGTTTGCAGTCTGGTGCTTTGCTGACCGGTGGTGTGCCAGGTGGTGGGTTGCAGGCTGGCTTCCCGACGAATGATGCTACTCCTGGTGCCGGGTCAGTTGGGGCAGGTGATCTTTTGCTAACTGGTGGTGTGTTGGCTGCTACATCGGCTGTTGCATCGGAGACTGTTTCGTTAATGAAAATTGCTGATTCAAGTAAAGGAAACACCCAATAGGATAGGTTAAAGGTGGATGGAGGTGGGATTCAGACTAGAGGTTCGGGGGCAATGGTCTCCAATATTTCTAGTGGTCCTACTGCTGGTGGTCCTGCTGGGGGTTCTGTACCTAGTGGAGGAGCTTTTGGTGCTTTTGCTCTTGCTCCTTCCGCTTCGGTATGTGGAGGTGGCAAGGAGTCTCAGGTTCATGGTGAGCCGGTTCAACATGAGATGGCAGCTTGTTTGGTTGATGTTGGCAAAGGCAAGTCAAAGGTAGAAAGTAAAGGATCAGGTAAACCTTATTGCTTTAGATGTCTTACAAAGGGGCATACGATGCAGGATTGTTCTTCTAAGTTTTACTGTGAAATTTGTGAAAGTGTGGATCATGTTGCTATCCGTTGCCCAACTTTTAGATCTACAGTTAAACCTACTGCTCAGTTATGTGGTTATGCTGCTGATGGTCTGGGTTTTTTTTCATATTCCTCTCTCAGCTGGTCACAAAATTAAACATGAGCCTAGGGCAGCTTTGATTAAGGTATCAAAGGGTAAGCTTTCTGTAAATGATGTTATAGTTGAGTTGGAAAGGTTAATTCCTGGTAGATGGAGGTGGGTTGTTCATGACAATGGTGATGATACTTTCCGCACCATGTTTCCGTCTGCTGCTGAATTAAGGCGAATGGTGGAATGGGGTAAGGTGCATACTAAGGTTGGTGAGGCTGAGATGGAGATAGTGGAGAGAGGTGTTGGTAATGAAGTTAAATATGTCATTCCAAAGGTTTGGGTGCAGTGTAAAGGTCTTCCCTCTGAATTAAGAGAGTACTTAATTATTTGGGCGGTTGGCTCTATTCTTAGCATTACAAAGGCTGTTGATATGCTCTTTACAAGAAGGTATGATATTGCTCGTTTACAAGTTTTGGCCCTTGACCCATCTCTGATCCCTGATGTCGTTGATGTGGTTATTGGTGATCACTTGTATGAGTTGGCTTTTAAGGTGGAGCCTGAAAGTGGGGCTGACGAGCCTGTTCCGATGGAAATGGAAAATGTGGATGATGGTAATCTTGAGGAAAAGGATGATGGAAACATGAAACAGGTTTTAGGGAAGGAAGTTGGGGGTGATTCAGGGAACAACTCCATGATGGGTTCTGGTGGACAGTCTAGTGGAGTTGGTGGATCGTCCGTACCTTCTGCTCAGTTGAGTTTGTTACCTGAATATGATGGCTTGACTACTTCTGATGAGGAGTTTGATGGCCTGGAGGAAGAACCTGTAGTGGTTGAAAAGCTAAGAACTCAGGAAAGTCTGGGGGCAAAACTTGCTGCAATTCCTGAAGCAGTAATTTCACCTTCTAGGAAGAGCAAGAGAAGAGCAAGTGATAGCGATCAGATTGTTCTTGAAAGAGCTGAGAAGCTGAAAACTGAAAAGAACTTGGTGAATATGCAGGCTAAAGGTAAGTCTCAAAATAATATTTCGTTTTTACAATTTACAAATGATCAGATATGTGCTTCTCTTGATAATCTTGGTGTCATTACTTTGGGTACGAATTTTTTATTAGATGATGTTATTAATGATTTAAAGAGTATAGAGGAGAAGAGATTAGGGAATTTTGTTTGTAGTTCAGTTAATCAAGCTACTACTTCAATTGTTGAGAGTGAGTTATTAGATGACCATTTGGATGATAATACTCTACTTCAACACTTATGTGGTGATATTATGGAAGAGGTGATGGATTTAAGTGGTGTAGATGATAATTATTCTCATGC